TCGGAATGTCTGATGTGGTTCGTAATTAGCGAAGCCACCTGCGAGCGAAACTTGGCTCATAAATTCCCGAGAAATGGAAATGGCGTCACGTTCGATCTCATTTGCGCGATCTTTCTATCGTCCCAGCCCGGCCCGGAACGCGCGTTAGACGTTATTCTCCTTTCGGGAATGTCTCTTTCCGCGAGAAATCAGAGGACCTCTACCCCACGCTGATCACGTACCGGAGACCAATCTGTTCTCTCCCCGCCGTCACGTTTGACGGTTTATGTCAGTCGCGCGTCGCTTCGCGTGTATGCGCCCGCGGATCCGCCTTTCCGCCAACTTGGGCGAAACGTCAATCATGTTTCGTCCCCACGAGACTCTCGTCATCGAAATCCGAATTTTTGACCCGCTTCGGTCGGTCGGTTGTATCTGTCTCGAATCACGGCCGAAAAACTTGCCTCGGCGAACGACTACAACCGTTATTCGGGTCACGGAATTATTGGACGCTCGTAATTATTTTACGAGCTTTTCATAGCCGATAAATGCTTTTACGTTCTGCGCTTCCTCATTATTCGGTCTGAACTTTGACAAATTTTACACGAATCTATACGGGTTTATACGTCCCATATACTGTCGTATTGGAAATATTAAATTCCGTGATTTATGCGCACATATGCGAATTTGTTTAACATTTTATCTTTATGAATTCTCTCTATCTCTCTTTCTACCAAATTCAACAAGACAGTTTGTGATTTCGGCCTTATTTTCTTTTTATAATCGCGCATAATAAATTTGAAAGTGTTTCCTATTTAATATTTTTACTGTTTGAAACTACTTTTTTTATGTTTGAAACTAGTTTGCGCGCAATAAAACGATATGCGAGGACTTCGCGAAATCATCATGAAATCCTACTCTGCGTTAAACGCTTTCAAATATTACCATATACGGCCGAATAAAGTAAACGCGAGATAAATACCGGGCTGACCGTATTTTCGCGTTTCCCTCATCAAATTCAAATCCGCGCATATGTTGAAATATTTGCGTTGCCGGTTCGCCGGGCAAGAGGGACCGCGGCCGCGGCCGCGTTCCTCTCGATGTTGCGCCCGGCAAAAGTGGCGGGTTGCGCGCGATTCAGATCGGTCTGTTTCCGGGTGTGCGGAGAATTCAGCTTCAAAAATGACTCGCGTGCCTGTTAGAGGGCTTTCAAGCGAACGACAAACACGAAGGCTACAAGCGATGCTCTCTCCCGTGCGACGAGTCGGTCGTCGTGATTTTCAAACCCCGTTAACAGTTCTGGATACCCTTCCCCACGTGGAACGCGAACCAGCTGATGTAAATGCCAACAGATTAATGCTAATTTACTGGATATTTACGCTCGTGCTCGACACCGCGTGGCCGCGCAACATATTTTCATCGTTTTACTACGGTGTGTCAATATTGAATAGCAGCGACGTACTATCGGTATATTTGCAGTGGCGCGCTACATGTGTGCAGGTCTCAAAAACGCGAGCGAGCAACGCGCACTAGGTTGCGTGTCAAGTTGTTCAATTATTAAACTTGCGATTAAAACAATCCTAGGAATTAGAGCGTTTATAAAAGGCCACTTTTCTATCTTTGTGTATGTCAATATTTAAAAAATACAACGCTGATAAATTATTTTCTAGCGCAAAGAGACGTTTGCGTGTTATACAAGTGGATATTTCCCTTCACCCGCAATGTATGAGTCAAGAAGACATAACACGATTCTCGAGAAATTTCTAAATATCTCGACCCCGAGGAAATCAAGTGCCACCAGAGACGCAACAAGATATTGTAAGGTAGGTATGTCAACATAGAGGTCTGAATTCGGTGCATAATTCAATAGAATAGAGCGACGGAAAAGGGAGAGAAAGAGAGTAGGAGATTGGTAGGAGGGCGAACGTGATGTTAAATTCATGTACATAAAATAAAACGGAATATAGACATAAGCATCTCCGGGGAGAATCACGCAGTTTCTGTATCTTTGATATATAACGACGATCTCTTGTTTTCCTTTATAAACAGCGCCGAAGAGAAAAGAACTACGTACAAGAGGAAGTTCTCGAGAAATCACATATAATATTAAATAAAAGGAGAGATAAAGAAAAAAACAATATAATCGTACATCAAATATACACTATTTCGAAAATGAATTGACGGAAATGATTAATTTGTATTAAATTTTTGTATTAAATTCTGATACTTATATTGTACAAACGAGTAAACATGACGACGTGTAATCAGAATGATCGAAAATTTCTCCCGGAACGTAAGGGATGGAAGTGAGGACCACGGTTTGTTTTCTCAAGAGTTTAAGCAATCTGGAGCACTCGGAATCGCTGACCTAGGTTCGTACAATTTCATTGCTTAACCCAGAGCGGTCGACTGTGCCAGTTGTCAATAGAAGTTCGAAAGCACAAACCGATGACGATTGGATTAGCGCGAGAGACAGAGGCGAATACGATCAAATCAGGCTAGGTTATAACAGAAATCAGAAATTTTATTTGAACGTCATCTTCCATTTTAATTTAAAATGAGAATTATATGCATAATTTATTGATATTAATACTTATTATTAGTTTAGGAATTTGTTAGTGTGGAATTGTTAGAAATTTTTATATAATTTTATATAATTTTTATATAATTTTTTAATATAATTTTGCATAATTTTATAGGATCATATGTAAAAATGTAAATCTTTTCAGGATACTTGTCGTAAAATCTGTTTTTAAATCTGACACCAATCTCTCGCTTATTTCAACTTGTTTTGCGTGCAACGAGACGTAGATTACGCCACATGCAATTCTTAAGTGATTTTTCTCGTTGCTTCTTTTTCCTATTTGTACATGTTTCCTCATATTTTCCCGCGCGCTACGAATTAATTATTCGTTTTTTTTCTCTTAACTGGAGAGTCTCTCGTGCGCCACAGCGCGAGCAATTAATCCACGGTTGATAATCTCTCACATCATATTTTTCAGGCCGTCTCGCGCCCGCGAAACTGTGAGTAGCACGTACACCTTTGTCGCATGTCTCTGGAGATTTTTCCGGCCGAAGGATGAGATGCGGCTCGCAATTAGATCCACCTAGCGCGCGTATTTGCGGAATCGCGCGCAAGATACTTTCCGTCCGCGCGTCTCTTCTCCCTTTAGTTTGTTCTCTTTGTCTCCCGCGAGGGCGCAAATGATTACCAAATTATTATTCTTGTATTCACGCGTTACACCTTAGTGGTGGTTTAGGTCATCGACACGGTCGCATCGGCGTACAGGGACGCGGATTCGTTCAACAGGCAAACCTCGGCGCGTACGACACACTACGTACACGAATGTACGCGAATTTATAAAAGTTTCGGCAGTTTCATTTTTCCACGTTAATTCCGCGCACTCACGAAACCCGCCGGAATATATGACGAGCGCATCGACCGGAATTGCTACCGTCTGCCAATCCAATTATCCTATAATCAGTCAACCAATGGGAGCAGAGTCCCATCCCGTGCTCCGCACGTTCATTACGGATCATAAACATAATTCAATTACATCGATAATTTCAAGTTGAGCGCTTGATCGATTAAGATACGACTGAGTGGTTCTCTCTTCACGCAAAAAAGTACACACATATATTTTCCGCGATAACGTGACGATTTATTTTTTTTTATTTTTTTTTTTTTATCGAATGTGTTTCTCGAGCAAATATCACATTAATTATGTAATATTTGTTTTCATTAAAAGTGTCTTCTCTCGTGAATCAGATAAAAGATTTATTATGCAGTGCGGTGTGCAGGAAAGATCTTTGAAAATCCAACTTAAAATGTAATACAACGCACCAGGTTCGAAGAAATGTAAAACGTTCGCTCTCGCGCCACAGTTTTTTGTTTTAGTGGAATAAATTACGCGTCGCTTAAACGTTTGCTTAACGTATACCGGTATTGTAACTTTAATGAAGAAAAATCTCGCGTCGCGCGTATCCTTTCAGATAGCATCATAAACCCCCGGTATCAGGCCAACTAGTTTAATCTGTTTTGGGGCAATATATCATTGCTAACGCTTATTCCACAGTCTGTCAGTTCTTCCGCGGCAAAAGAACAATGCCGAGATTTATATGGAAATTTGCCGTTTCTCTTATATTTTGTGTATTTTAGTTGGAGATCTCTGGAGTGAAAAAAAATGTATCCTATATATAGGCATATGTCGTCCTCTTCAAGCACGGCTCGCGAGCATTTTTATCCGCCATTTCGATTTGCATTGTAAATTTAACCAGAAAAACCATATATTTTTTTTTTTTTTTTTTTTTTTTTTATATATACCCCGTTAGATAATACAACGTCAAACTGTCAAGCTTACGAGATTGTCGCGTGTAAAATATCGACTATCTGCATTGACTCTGTTCTCACGCATATATACGCGACGTTGGTTGGTTTTAGTGAACTTGAAATTTACGTGTAACGTTTATTGTCAGTATTTTTACGATCCGATGAAACGCGAAATTTGGTACAAATGTCTTCTAATTGTATGAAATAAACGTCAAGCCTTTCGTGGTATTAATAAAATTGCTCTGAATTAAGACACTTCAACACGAAATCGCGGGAAATGACACAGTGCGTACAAGCACGGTAGAATTTCGCGTTGGATCTATAGTCTGCAGAGGCAGAGCTTCAACGGGCGCGCTGCTTGGTGGTTGGTTAAGTAACGAGCGGCGCATATTTAGCCGTGGCCTCTCTGCAGAGACATGCAAATGTACAACGATGGCTCCTCTCGGTTGGCTGCCTCTATACTACGTGAAATATACTCCGCGCTTCATGCTTAATCAAGATTTCGCCGGCCGTTATATCTCCGGAGAACTATTCTTCATAAAGTTTTGCATCCCGACAAATCTCCGACGTGTAAAGAGCGCGTTAATATTTTTCCATATATATATATATATATATGTATATATAAATACCCGCCTCTGATGTCTTATTTTCGACAAATAAGTAAACGCGTTATGTTTCAAAACGCACAACTGTCTAGATTTGCGATCACCATACGTATTTTTATATTTATTTATAACGTAAAAACTTGTACAAGTATAGAGATATTATGTTTTATATGTAACATACGTATAGAGAAAGATTAAAACTATATTCTTTTGTTACTATTTTGTTTATTACATGGAGAACAGCAAACAGGATATTCGGAGTGACGTTCTCCAAGATGTTGCCCCGCATTCTTATTACAGTTACATCTGCAACAAATAATAACAATATACGTTTTAATTTCTGTTATTTTTTTAGCATCCCTAAGTAAAAGCAAAATATAAATATTATCAACTTGGACCATAGGCTCTTTAGTTCTCTTTCTCTTAATTTGTTTCACCAAGCCGTTATTTTGAATACTATTTATAAATATTATTTTTACAACAATTTAATTATTTTTATACTTTATAAAAATTTGAGAACTTACTCTTCTATTTTGTACTTATTGCCAGATGTGCAAGTTACCTTCACACATCTTTGCCGATCTGCTGCGGGAAGCACTTCACTGAGACAATTTTCTGAAACAAGTTTCAAACTTAAATAATTAAGTAATTAAGATTAATTAAGATTAATTCTAAACTATGAATTATAGAGCGGGTAGAAAGCGATGGAACGTGTTACGATTATATTATTTCCTTAGCACAATTTAAGACCCACTTTCGCAAATGCAATTTAGAATAATAAAACACAAAAGACGTATGGAACTGTGTATAATCATTAGTATTTAGAAATTGCATTGCACTGTGAAATTACCGTATTGAGGAACCTGGAGCGAGTACTGCACGAAAAGCAGGAAAATGCAAAATAGCGCGAGACGCTTCATGCTGCGATACAACGTAGCGAAAGAGATTCAACAAACTATCACAATCTCTCGCTGTCGAACTAAATTTATATGATATTCCACGCATAATCTTAAACGCGAGGTCAGGGATGGAGATAAGGCTATAAAAATACAAAAATGTTTGCATGTTTCGCTTAGATCTGTTGCCTCGCGCTCATAAACATAAGGTTTTATGTTCGGATTTTTTTTTTTTTATATATGTATGTACACACTTGAGGCGATAAAACAAGGCGTGTGTTGCTCACAAAGTAAGCGTATGTGGCGTCAGTAAACAATCTCTTGAAACGATATTTGGAAAATTGTATCTTTTCAAGCCGAGAATTTTTTTGTTTTACTCTTGTATCCCCGGCTAATGTTGGAATTGCTTTCGGCGTTGCTCGCGCTTACAATTTTCCCAACGGCAAACAAGCTCGATCGGCTTAACTCGGGCAATGTTTAATACGGGAGTAGTTCGCGCACGCATTCTGTAAGTGATACTCCCGAGGGATGTTTTTTTGGACCTGGTCACGAAGAAGCAGTAAGAAAGAACCGCTCTCTCGCAGAAGATCGCGCCATACTACTATATAGATACGGATATGTCGTCGAGAAGCGGGCGAGTCCATTCCCAGGGCTTTGTTGAACGGAATTGGTACTGAACCCACGGGACATGCCGAGCTAGAAGATCTCTATTATGTCAAGGAAGGGCAAAATGAGCTTCCTGGGACTTTCGTTTCGTTTTCATCCTCGCTCGATCGCGCGACGGCGCGCTCAGGTTTTTGTCCGTGTGGCGACAAAGTTTGATTTGCCACGAAGTATAGCACAGCTCTTGTGTGTCTGACTTATAGTTTTTTTTTTATCATTCTATAGATAACGTTTACGTTAAAAAGATCTGCGCAATTCTTCGCGAAATAACATCGGTGTGCAATTACGAATGACGCGCGTTATATAGTGCGCGAAAGGTCACTCGGAGAACCAATAAGTTATCAATAGCGCGAACGCTCACTCATACGAAAGTGATAAAAAAAAAAAAGTGCAAATCAGAAAGATACGGGATGATAAACTCGCACGAAGAGAGAGTTTGCACTGTACGAATTCCAGCGATAAATTTTATTTTGCGATTTATTTTGCTGCGAGTTTCTTTTAGCAAATAGAAAGTTTTAAAAAAGAAACGCAGTGCAAAATCCTGACGCGAGACGCGTACAAATATGTATATCGTCGTAAATTCTGGCATTTTTAAACAGAGACACAAGATGTGTGTGTGTATTTTTGTGGATCCACTTTCGGAACGCGTGCGATTTATTATTGTCGCGGAGAAAAATGTATATCTCCGCGCATCGGGAAATAGCGCGTCGAGATTTAGACGCACGTTCATCGGAATTTATGCGCGCATAATTTCAATCACTCGTAGCCAAACAATTTATCGCGTCACACTTTTGTTAAATTTGTGTGTTTTATGTTTAATTATATGTGTGTTATATGATTTTAATACGCGAATACACGACGAATAAACGAGTAATAATTAATGTGGCGGCAAACAGGGGAATGATGAGCGGGAGGAAATGAGTTGGCTGTGTGTTAAAGCGAGGAGTTGATTTGCGCGTATGAATTTTGAGCGAACGAAGTAAAATCCATCGCAAAATTCGGAGCGCAACAACAGAACATCGTAAATAATCAACGGGTTTTCGATGCTGCATCCCGACAACAACATTGTAACACCGGGACTATCGTCACTGATAACGCGCGCTTGACAGGACCTGTCTCTATCGGGTCTATCTTATCTTCGTGACAGCTGCAGTAGCATCGGTGGCGCGCGATTCGTATAACGTGGAGATCACCGACGTCCACGTGCGCGTAACAATTTTCGCATTTCAGCCGCAGCAATTCGTCGCCGTTATTGATACTCGAGAAGAACAGATTCGCGTTGTTCTCTTTCAGGATTCGCTCCGGCAGAACAGCGGCGTGTCTCTCTCGCAGTTCCGCCGCGTCTTTTGTTGCTCGACGAGCTTTCTGCGGGAAAATTTGCTGAAATTATTACACATTGCGAATCGACGAGACCGATAACGCAAAGTCGAAAGTTCGCTTTTAAATTCGCCGCGAAGTGAAAACTCATTTCTTTCTTTCTCTCGTTCTCTTTTGTTTTCTGGCATCGATGACTTTCCGCGACGGAATGTTTCGATATTTCGCTCTTTCCGTCTTATCTGATTGTATAAGCGCGCGCGCTCGCGATAATGAAATAAAGCGGGCTGTATTGCCGCGTCATCGTCCTTACCGTGATCTCCGATTCGCTCTGTTTGCCTCGAAGAGCGAGCTCCTTCCATTTTCGATAGGCAGCGTCATACGTATCGCTCGCTTTTTCGTATTCCGAGTGAACGTCGGTGACGAGGTTCCTGTATCCGAATGCGCCAGCTGCTCTGGTATTGCCGTCTCTTCCGCGGGAGCTGCCGCCCACGAACCAGACGGTGTATCCGCGCAAAATTGAATGTTCCTTCGTACGCATGGACCAATACAAAGAGAAACGGAGAGCGAGCTCCTGATTGGGCCCGTTCTTGCCGGGATGTTCGCAGATCTGAACGGTCGGTCGACCGCCCAACAGAAGACACAGTCCGAGACTCCACGTGTCTTTCGTGGGTATCATCTCCCACACCTTTTGCTCGTTCGAAGGACACACCGGACTTTCCTTCATCTGTTCGTACATCTCGGATCTGGTGATTTTGTTCTCTAACGTCAGGATTATCAGCGATGCGAGTCTCGCGTATTCCTGCGCCAATTTGTCGATGCTGCCGCTGCAGGTAGAATTCAATTTTAAGGGAGTCAGTCCCAATCTAAGGACTTCCGTCGCCATACACTCCATAGCGTCGGCGTTGCTCGCCATCACAAATCGCTGGACGAATTTGTATCCCGTTTGCTGGTCCACTCGAGCGTCCGCCGCTGTTTTTCGGGGTTTCGTTTCCCACAGTACTTCGCGTACGCTCTGCGACACTTTGTCAAGGAGTTTGTACTTCGTCACAATAGCCAGCGCCCTTTGGTCCTTTGGGTCGTGGACGCAGGGACCGCCGCCCAATTGTTCCGACGGTTCTGCTGACACGTCGGACACGAAGAGGGTGACGACTTTGGCCGGATAAGCCAGACGCGCCAGATCACCGCCTGGAATTTTCTTTTATTGCATCCGTGGATTTTTCGACTACTGTTTGAACAGGTTATTTGGAAAAGAGCTCAATGTAATTTGTATTTTTTTCTTTAGCACGAAAAGATGTCGTATGTATTGAAGAAGAAAAAAGAAAAAAACTTTTTTTGCGGCAAATATCATCATATTATTATAGTGACAAGATGTAAGAAGAAAAAAGTTTTACATTTATCAACTTTGATACTGAAGTTATGAAATTAACTTCGTCCGTTAGAGATTACATTTGTCTTTGGTGTAACAAAATCACGTTCAGACTTCTAGAAGAACGTGAGGAATAAACTGCAAATTGAAGAAGGTTTCATCGCGCTAGGCGATAATAGAATTTTCCTCGCACCTAACTAAACCACTTACCCCTTATCGCGGAAAGTTTGTTTCTGACGATATTGATTTCTTCGGGACTCGCGTTAGCGTTCTTCAACCTGTTGAGAAGTCTCAACTTGTCTCGCAGTGTAATCGTGTCGCGCGGGCAGCACAGGAGATCGTTCAGATCCGGCGACAGCATGACTATCAGCAAGTCGCGTTTCTTCAACCGCTTGCAGTAATTCGCGATTTTCCGATTAATCTCGACCGTCTCCTCGTCCGGCTGTCCGTCAGTTCCGGCTTCCACGAAAGTTGCACGGCTGTCGTCCAACGATCGCGGGAACTCGTCGGGAAAATTTCGTATCGCGGAAATTGATTCGCGTGGCACCACGATAAATCCCCCTTTCAGATGTTTGCCGACCACCGCTTCGAGCGCCGAGCTCATCGCGGCAGTTTCTTTGCCCCAACCGACGACATGTAAGTTGTTCTTTATGTTGTACTTGATTTTGTCTATTCTCAAGTTTTTCCGACCGTCGTACTTGATCTTCTTAGGTATAATTGCCGACGGACTGACACAATGTATACCGGCTTCGACGATATTAGCGAGATCTTCACGTATCTGTATTTCAATTAACAAAACGGAATTAAAAATGCCGAAGAAAGATACATCTTGCACAGTTACGTCTTTTTAAACATCTAATTGTAATAAAAAATATTGTGCACAACCTGCGCCATTTCTTTCTCTCCGCGCAATTTGTTCATATCTCCAATCTTCTGCCGAATGCTCTCTTTCAAATCATAATGCGTATCTTCTATCGCCATTCTGTCGAATCCGTTTTTGCTGCGAGGGAAGATTTACGTCATTTATGATTTTCTGTCTCTTTGCTTATACAGCCGCGATTTTTCGTTTTATTTCTTCTCGTTTCAAAGAAACAGTCGTTTTCTGCTTGCATTGCTTTTTTTTCTTTTCTTGTCTTGCATGCTTTATGTATATCTTAACACTTGATTTAATTTTACATATATCTAATTATTCGGATTTAACACTGAAGAGATCGTGACATGTACGGTTACATTTTAGGTTACTGTTAATTGATATAATCTCGAAATAGTTGCTTTTTGATTGTACACGTACACACAATATATTTTGTTTTAATAGCTGTACATGTTCTCGACTGAACTAATTCAATTAATATTATTATTTATTGTTAAATTAACATATTTATATGTCTATAAAATTCATCAAATTTTACGCATAATTACTAAACCGTCTCTGGGTTTATTAAATCATTAAAATTATGTAAATATATCGGCAGCCGTAGAGTAGAGTTTCGTTATTAATTGAAGTAGATAACAATACTTACGAAGCGTTAGAACTTATTCATTGTTGGTATCTTCACATTGACAGCTGCGACGTAGAGATATGTATGTTATTTATATATATATATCCATTATATGTCTATGATCTCTACGCTGTTGACAGTTGGTATTTTTTAAATTCAAGCATAGTGATATTTAAGATGGCGCGGTCGTCGTCCGACGTATCAGGATGACGCGATCTCCCAGAAAAGGAACACGCGAGAACCACGTATTGTATGTTCCTGGAAATGTAGGAAGACCGAATACAGAGAGAGAAGGTTATGAAAGATAGAAGTAGTATTTCAGCACTGTAAAACACCGGCGAATTGTGCGAGTGACAGTGTCCACAACTTTCCCGCGGAAAATGGTTTGATGACCAAAAAAAGTCGTGCCCGATTATGGTCGTCAACCGGTAAGGCAACGAATTGCGATTCGTTAATTTGCATTAGTAGAAAGACCATCGAAAAGAAACAATGGGAACTCGTTTATTCTGCGGCATCTTTTTGATGAACTTTTTCGTTCTGCTTCTTTTTACGGAGGGAAGAAGCGCGCCGGCGCCCAAGTTCATCACGGATGCAATGAAGAGTGATAAGAATCTGTGCGATACAATCGAATTTTTATACAATTCGAGCTATGTAAAACCGTGCACGTCATTGCTATATCCCACCGCTCCTTGGGATTTGAACGAGACGAACGTGAATGTCCCTTTATGCTTAGGAGTATACGATGCGGCGTTCAAGATTTGTCGATCTTTTAATCGGTTGCAAATCAATGGTACAACGTTTAAATTAGATGTGGAAAAATTTGTTCCCGACAAGAATCAAAGCGTCGAGTTCTGTTACAATTTAAAAGGATTTACATCAACGTACACGAAGATAGATTCACTTTGGAAACCGCTGATCAATCTCCTCAATTCATCTAAGAAGTGTGAGAAGATCTGCTTCAATCTCAGAGATGAAATCAATCCGCTGTGCGTACTACTTGCTTGGAGTAAACATATTACTGATATCGTTAACACAATGGATCTCAAATATGATCATCTGATGTCTCATAAACTAACGAGTCAGGCAAACAATGAAACAACAAATATTATAAACACTGAACCCAAAACCTCAGAATCGAAAGAAACCAAAGAGTCAAGCACAAAACGAACTTCTAACGATAATGGTAATGCTGAGAGTAAATTAAAAAATGGCAACGTATTAAATACGGCTGTAAAATCACCTGATGCACAGCCGAACTCTTATGTCGGAACATCAAGTGACAAAGATGACATTCAAAAGAAAAATAACACATTCACACCAGTAACACAGGCTCCGAAAGCACCACCTTCAGTGGTGTCTGAAAAAGATGTGGACAAAAAGATAGAATCTATTGCTGAAGATACAAAGCCTGTAAACAATCCGCAAACTTCATCCGTAAAGAATCCAGCAAATGAAAATGAAAAAAAGTATGTGGATGAAGACAAGATGGAGGAGCCTAATAAAGATAAAGATATCGAAGATGTAAAATCTACCACACTGTCGGAAAATACACAAGAACACTATGATGTAAATCCGGAAGATGATATTAATTCTGCAGTGGATGACAATGATGGTACTAATGTTTACGCATATGTTTGCGTTTTTTAAGCCTTTTGATTTTGTTTCAGAAGTGGTTACTTCTGAAACAAGACCAAAAGATCGATAGCACTAGGCAAAAGGACCAAAAAGTTTAAATTAATTTATATTTCAATATATCAATGTTTCTGGTTTTTTTAGGTGAAACCGTGTGTTCACTTCGTACGGTTCTAACCAAAAAACCATTTTTTCAGGAATTCTTACATAATCACGTATCAAATTATTTTAGTGTTTATTTTGCAAATATAAAATTATATAAACTGTGTATTTATTTTTAGGTGTAGAAGATAGCAATTTACAGCCAATAGACGCAGGTAAATTTGTTAATTAAATAAGTCTCTCTATTTAATGATATATATTTTTTTCATATATTTTTTTGAAAGGAAATCAAAATGAGAACGCGCAAGAACCGTATGAGCAGAAACACAGTACACAACAATTTCCCGGACTAAGATCGGACGATTCTCATTTCTTCACTTACTTCACCGTGGTAACTTTGGCGTGTATTGTCGGATACATAGGTTATCATAACAAGCAGAAAGTAAGAGTTCAATTTATGCAAAGAAATAGCGCGCCTTTGTTTGTGGGAACACTTTAATCTCTTAAAAATTGTTTTTTTATTCTTAGATATTTGCTATTGTACTCGAAGGACGAAGATCGCGAAATAGTCGGGGCAGACGACGACCGAGTACAGCTAATTATCGGAAACTGGATTGCACACTCGAAGAAGCTGTTACGTCGCAATGTAACTCCAATGTTACTCATGTCATATATTAAATGCAGATAGAAAGAAATTTTATAATCTTTGTATTATAGTATATATACATATATTGCAAATGTAATATATTTTGTATTTAAACATAATTCTCCAGTATAATATTTCTTTTTTTTTTCTAAGGATTGTTTTACATGTATTTTTAGCATTCAGTCAATCCGTCAATACGTAACGAAGATTTCACGAGTACCATATGGTGATACACCAGTTCCGATATTACGTGTGATAGTAGAAAACACAAGTATATTTCCAGTTCGAATTATATCAAATTATTTTATAATTTACAACTGAAGTTATAATGATACTAGGTTAAACAGTTTGCAGAAATCCATCAAACTCTTTAACACGATGCTTGATATAATTTTCTATTTTGTTGTTTTAAATATTAATATTAGTTTTGTATTAAAATCAAAGTTTATATATAATGTTATGTGACACACTATATGTATCTAAAAATATTCATCTGTAGCAGTTTTTAAGTTTCTTAACTGATCTCTCTGAAAATTCGTAAGACCTCGCAGTGAACTTCTCTAGTCGAATTGTTTGAGAGACGCATTAAAGTACTTTATATGAAGAAATAATTTTATCTACATTGTGTTCTTTAAAATCTGTCTTGATGTTTCAGCACCGTTTGAAAATTTTGCAAAACTTTTTTACACTTTATTTTTTCATTTATATAAAAAACAGTGTTCAATATATTAATTAAGAAGAGAGTAATATCTTTCAATTGGTGAGTGTGTCGCTGTGTAGAAAAAAGTGCTTGTAATTATATTTAAAGTTATATACATATATATTACATAGATATAAAACTTATATTAATAGTAGTTGATAAATTTTATGAAAAATGTCAGAGATCTCTTATATATTTAAATAAAATTGGAATAAATTCTTTTCTTATTCTAATTTTATTTCTCTGCACTAATATCCGTTCTAACATTAGTTTATTATACATTACTTTGTACAATTATTATAAAAAAATTTTTTTAATCTTTTTTTTCTATATTATTATACATTTTTGTCACTTGGTATACTTTGAAATTTTTTAATTATAAAATTAATCATACACAGTTGTAATTAAATAATTTATTGCATTACTATAATTTTTTACATCTACTACATAAAAGCGCGTGCGCGCGCAACACATACACACACACACACACACATTAATTCGCACAGAGAAAAAACCGTCCAATTGTATTGAATATACATATGAATGCACTGTATTGTGCTAATCTTATAAATTTTTTATCCACGCAATTTATGATGGATTTAATGTACAGTAACTTACAAAACAAATATGAGTAAAACTATAGATAAAGGATGAATTAGAATGTTAATTGAAAAAAGCAGTTTTTTTTTAAAGAGACAAAAAGTTCTCAATTACATATGTTTATCGAGGATGAGTATAATTTTAAGATGTGCTCTAATTCACCTTTTATTGTATCAATTATCTGTTTAAAAAAATAACTGTTCTCTAACATTTATTAAATATACGTGTAACACAATACAGGGAGAATATGTCATCCACTTGGCTTAGTAAGATAAAAAGTTTGCTGTTAAAAACAATTGTTTGTTAATTGACGTGTATATCATCAGTGTCTTCACACATGAGTGATAATTTTTGTGATTTACTTGTATATTTTTGCTAATAAATGCTAAGTGCGCAGTTTACGTATTATAAAAATTGATATTTTTATGCGATTGTATTAAAGTGCGAGTACTTTGATTGATATGTTTCGAATCACAATATATTGAAAAGTCCGATTACTCTGTTCCTTTTAGAAGTGCAGTAAATCGGTTATAGAAGAATCATATATGTGTTTCAATCAACTCTTTGACTGTTTCGTCAAACGATCGGAGCGTTATCGCCGCAGTACGCAGAAAGTAATTTATATCGAAATACAATTGGAAATGTCATATTTTTTTAACGAGGCAAAGATAATCACGAGCTGTATCGATATAAACGTAGTGAAGATTTGCCTGCGCTAATGTTGCCTGCATTGATTTGGCGAATTAATCGCATGTTAGACGATTGCTTAAATTAAGCGCGACTTTTATTTAAGTCCGCGAACACATACAGTGAGTTGATATAATTGATAAACGATAAAAAAACAATTTCTACATCAATAAAATATCTTAATATAATTCTATATAGAGAGGCAATGTGTTGAATGAACGAAATCACAGTAGGTGTTAAATTTACGTTTATTTTTCTCGATATTTGCACAACATCGCGTTTACAAAGTCTACGAATCTACGCAATAAATGCCGTCTTTACTGTGATATTTTATCCAATTCAGGTAATCGGTGTTCTTCACGTATACACCCGGCATCCCGGGATTGGCGCACCCGATACCCCAAGAGACCACACCTGTCACACAGTGATAAAACTGATAATCTCAAGCGAGAAAGATAGTAGATTAAATTGTCGATTTAAGTTTTTCTTATGAATTACGTTCTTGCGGCATGATTTATGGGCGTTTGTGTCATGCAAATTCTTACCCGCTATTTCGTTCTTTCCGTCCGATCTTTCGTATAGAAGAGGCCCGCCGCTGTCACCCTACAATTGTTAATTACATTAAATACAAAACACACATATGTATATATTTTTTTTAATTGAAATCAAAAACCGACGAAATACCTGACACGCATCCTTGTTCTCGGCGTAAGCGCACAACATCGATTCCGTGATGTGATTTCCAAATGTAGTGTTTTTACAATCGCGGTATGACATTACTTTGAGGGAGGCTTGACGCAGATATTGAGAGGCCGCTCCGTCATTAAGAACACGTCCCCATCCGATAACTTTAACAATTCGCCCGGCGTACTCGGTACCTGTTATCGAATATTTGTTTCTATTGTTCTTTTTTCATGCACAAATTTATATTTTATAATTTCAGTTTGAACACAATGAGAGAACTGACCTTTATGCGGAAGACATACAGGTGTCACGTGGTCGGTGATTCGAATCGGATGCCGCAGTCGAATCAGCGCAATGTCATTCGTATCGTGAATTCTGTCGCTCTCAAAGTCCTCGTGCAGGATCACCTTGTCAAGGTCGATTATGTATCCCTCGTTCGGGTCTTCGATGTCGTGCATTCCAAGACCTAACGTCAGGTCATTGTGATTCGTCCTGCGCAACTCGCGGGAAAAAAAACACAAGAATATTAATATAAAAAATTAAAATATTAAGTTTACTTTTCCCCGTTGCGAGAGTCGTCAATATTGCGTGAAATTAATTTAATATCATAAGAGTTTACATTAAGAGAAACTTAGATAAGACGTTGCGATACACTAGATAAAACGTTGTCGCGACTGATGATAGAAATAAGAAAAACGAATAAAATACCATTTGACGCAGTGTCCGGCTGTCAACACGTATTGATTATTGATCAATGTGCCGCCGCAATGAAGATTTCCTTTGTTAAATATCGCTACGGCCCATGGAAATATGTGCGGAATCGATATTTGTCCGCCGACAATGCGATTCGATATCCCTCCGCCAGCCACTCCGCATTCTGTTTATGTGAGAAAAATTTCAAGTTGACATTGTTTTTATTAAACTTTGTCTCTTCGTGCCAGCATCTTTATTTTATGATTTTCTAACATGTACGAACAATTTTACATTGTTTTTGCATCATTATCCTCACAAATTGCAATTAACATGAAGTTAATTAATTAATCGGATTGAAAGGAAATGCTCGTTAAATCATGCGATAAGGTAGGTGTGCGTGTATGTACGTGTGTTTTAGAATAGCGATTTAATGTTAGTGTTTGTTCCTATTTCGTGAGCAAATGAGCTTCGCCGGACACACTTATGCTAGTCGCGTGATTTCATATTCGATCGTTACCGCAATTGTTATTCACTCGTAGGTTCAGACGATGATGCCGTGCGAGCGCCGCCTGAAAATGAACGCAACGCAATTATTTGTTGAATCGTGCAGGATTATCGAGCTTCGCTCTTCTTCAATTTGTTTCTCTCGTGGTAATCTCGTTTAATTACTCTCTCAACGAACGTCTAGGATTAGAAGAACGCCGATCACGACTGGCAGGACCAAGTGGAAAAGTCTCCTCATGCTGCGCGACTCCTGTCCGAGATTTTACCTGTCGAAAACGAAAACGGCTACTGAGTGCAACACGGAACACGCTCTGTTCCTATATCGAATTTCGTTCAACAAACGATAATTAATTTCGACACAACCTAGCCGACACATATCGCCTCGATGTGTTTCATATCGCGATGAAACATATACACCAGGTACCCATAAATCGATATTCTCATTATCGCTCAATAAACCGAACGGTAGAATATAATCGTCATCACGATCCTAAAGAACAATTGACATAACGTACGTGCACTATTGTATTTTACGTAATTCGACCTAATTACAGAATAAATGTTAAATATTGCACCAAAGAATATATTTATACGCAGAATTTACAAAACCTTGACGTAGACTTTATGCATATCTGAACCTCTATAAATGGAACATTCATTCTTTACGTAGATTCATTCTTTACGTAAATTCGTTTTTTACGTAGATTCATTCTTTACGTAAATTTGTTCTTTACGTAAATTTATTATTTACGTAGATAGATTTAGATGTGGAAAATTCCGTCACAAAAAATCGGTTTTGCAACAAGTCGTGTATGTGCTAATATTTCTGAGTAACACAGTTTTGTAATAAAATAATAATATTTTGGACATATATTTGAAAGAGAAAGCTGTTTATCTAAATTTTTGCGTCAATAATGTACATCACTTTATTATTTGAAAGAGAATTGCGGATTTTCCTGGTTTATTTGTAACCGTAATATGTGCTTTGCCGTTCGGACTTATACGAATCTCAATACGTGCAGATATCGTATCGCGAATGTTGACGGTCAGGATACGAATACTACAGTTTACGAACAGCAATGCGGTCAACGAAGTTCTGAATATATAATAGCGCATTTGATATTGTGGCGCTAGATGTAGCGTAGTAAAGCTGTAAACGTCAGCACGTAAACAATGGAATATTATGGTATGACACACTTTGAAACAGATAACGTGCAGTTTACTTCTTCACTGAAATATTACAAAAAACTTATGTGGAAGAACCGAAGAAATGAAGACACTTTGTAAATGACGATTATTGATTAATAACTTTATTAACAACTTAATCAATTATTTACATTATTGCAAAGATTGTGACAGTTCAATTAATGCCGACAATACTTAGAATCGTGTTTCGTTACTTGTATTATCCACGAAATCATACGCGTCACGTCTGTATAAAAATCTGGATAATAGATATTGGCGCATGACACACCATTTGAAGTGATCCCTGTAATTATTTTGTCAATGTATATACTGTTACAGGTTTTGCTTATCTCTGCTCATGTTACAACTCACCTATCAAAACGTGTTTCTGATTCTTGTCTAGTATTTGAAGAGGCCCGCCACTGTCACCCTGTATCATAGAAAGATTATTGTGTTGTAGAAAAATTACAAAATTCCTGTATTATAATATTATTAAAAACACAACCGAGTAGATATATTAGTATTACTACATTAGTTTACAAAAATAGAAAATATTGCAGTGCAAGTACCGCGCAAGTGCCGCGTGGCAATTGCTTGTGACCTGCGCATATTAATGTGGAAACGTTGGTAGGACATTCCGATTGTTTGAACAACATCAAATCCACAATACGCAAGCCGCAATTTGGATATACCATGGAATTATTTTCTGATAATCCCCAACCGAGAACAGATGCAAATTGTCCTGCGAATGTAGAAACGGCATCGAATCCTGAATTGTCAATAAAAAATTATCAATAATTTATTTATTATTCAATTTCAGATTTATTTTAGACAGAATTAATACATGACATTATGATAATTACCTAATTTTGGTAAACAAATTGGTCTGACAATGTTGTTGAAGGTAATTTTCATGATTAATTTCACCAGCATGATGTCGGCGAAATTCGTGTTTCTCTCGTAACGTGGATGTGGTATAATACTCTCTACAGAAAAGATCGTGCTTTTGGTGTCCCATTTGCAAGAACTGTGAGCGCCGACACTTACTTTTAGGTCATCTTTATTGAAACTATAAATTTGTTTAATTAGCGCAAAATTCTAAATATTTTTTGCTTTAAGAAATCGAATGTTTTGAATGTGAAAAACAATTGTTCTTATTAATTATGTTGTATACCCATAAGGAACGCAATGAGCTGCTGTTATTACGTAACGATCGTTTATAATCGACGCTCCGCAGATGAGTCGCGATTGATTGACGCTTATAATACCGGCCATCCAAGGAAACTCATTTTCAGAAACTTCTTGTCCGCCAATTATTCTTGGCCACGACGGAGATATATTTTTTTTTCCACATTCTACATAACATTATAATTATGTAAACAATGTATAAAAATATAAAAATATAAAATATGAATAATATTTGATATAAAATATAACAATATATATGAGTAATATTCTCTTATAAAGTATATAGCAAAAAGAAATTTTCTGTTCAGAATCTTTTCTTTACTTTTTCTATGTGTATAAAATCATGTAAAATTACATATTTACAGGATATAAATCTTACCGCAATGCTCATGTAAATCGTCACTTTTGTAAGACGGAAACGAATGTCGAGTTACTCGTTTGTACCACAACGCGTCCGTACACCTCGACAGTGTAAATATTAACAGACACGACAAATTAATCAGCATAAAGTACTGCATGTGTAATAACGTTAAACACACTTTAACAGTAAGACGTTTTATGCCAGACTGACACTCGCTATGCGTAAATGTTTGCTGTATTTATTTAATTTTTTTATGTGTAAACTGCGGATGTGGTTTGTTTAAGTCACTAATAATTTCCAGATAAGATAGTGAGCCTTAGAACTGACGCGCTTACGATTGAGAACAACGTATGTAATGCTTAAAAACCGCACGCATACTCATTTTTCTCATTATTATTTTAAATTTCTTTGTCAAATAACGCATTTAAAATAATTTGAATAAGAGATACGAAAGTGTCTTCCATGCACGCGTAAAGACGTATTTGTCTATACATCCAATAGGTGGCTCTTAATTATGCTTCTTTGTAAAATTTGCGTTTTGAAGTTACAAGATTATAGGGAGTGACGACATATTATCAGCTTATATTCTTATACAAAAAATTCCGATTATACTAAAACATACATGTATATTTACTTTCTATATGTATAAATTGTGTACATAGCTACGTACATATATAATGATAAATGTAACAAATTCTACAATATTATATCATCATGTAAAACAGTTTTAAAATATTATACGAATCAGTATAAAATTACATGTACATAATAATGGTTTTTGTAAGATTGTTGGAAATTCACATGTCACTGTGTATTATTATTTTGTACAATAGCACGCGTCCTTAGTGTGCTGTAATATCCAATCGAGACGGGGACCAATTCTCGTGAAAACAGTCGGACTTGGACTACTGTCGCATTTGTTTATTCTTGGAATAATACCTATAAAATATTCATAAATTTTACTAATAAAATACTCTTTTGGATCGTAAGATGTCTTGTCGGAAGATAAAAAAAATTTACCTATGAGGTCATAAATTCCAAAATACGATCGATATTGCAAAGAAGATCCAACGTCATTCTACAAATATAAAATATAATATGTAATATATTTGGGGTTTTACGCAATATATTTTTAAAACTATATTAGCAATACAATAATACATTTACGCAAAACGTATTTCTCAATTCGGAAGAGATTTTAAAGTTGCATTTTGAAAAATTACTCACTTCGCACACTAGCGAGTTTGTGCCTACGACTCCGATGCATCCGTAATCGTCGTTGAAACTCATCGCATTTATTCCCGCTTTTACGCACTCGTTATAACCGAGAATGGGAAGTCCTAATTTTCGCGGCCGACATGTCCGAATATCGCTGTTGTTTTCGGACGTGCTTGCTGTCCAACCTACCAAAGTTCCAACCTGACCGAGGTAAGTCGATCCTGAAATTCAAAAGAAAAAACACACTTGTGCAGGTTCCTGTCATTAACATATTTCATTTTTTTAATCTTATAAATTTCATGTAATAATAAAATTATATAGAGAAGGAATACAAACCTGGATTGGGTAAGCAGACCGGCGATATTCTCTTCTCGAATTTGGTCGGTCGACTCAAACGAATCAAAGCTAAGTCATGAGTGTACGATTCTGGATTGAACTCAGGATGCAAAATTATAGACTCTGCACTGATATTTACGGACGAAATTTCTAAATTACATCGATCATATTCTCCTAACGATACTTTTATTTCAGGTGCTGTTGCTCTGTTACAAGTAGATTGTTGTTTTAACATGTATTTTGTTATCATACAAATATTGTTTTACATTTGAATATATATATTTTAATAATTATTATATATTAATATGTGCAATATATTATTAATATATTTTATTATTTTATTATTAATAATATAATTTGAGCAATTATTTATTATATCAGCGATAATTAAATAGTGCACTATGTACTAACCCAACAAGCTCGCTAGCCGCTGTTATGACGTAGCGATCATTTATTAATACTCCGCTGATCAACAATTCAGACTTTACATGAATATTTGCTAGCCAAGGAAATTCGTGCGAGTCTGTGTATTCACCGCCCAACAATCGCGCGACTTTATGATTTGAACGGCCGCATACTGCGAATATAATATACAACAATAAAAAAATGAACTTTCAATCAAAAATTAATTACCAGAGTAGCTTACAGCAGGTGCCGCATGTTCGGAATCTTCCGAAGAGTAAATCCAGGACGCCGCGTTCTTGTCTCGGGTCAGTTTGATTATCGATCTAATCAATAAGTATGAGATTTGCAATCAAAGCAACTTTGTGAAGTCAAACACATAAGTTTGTGCAAGCAAATTGCTAAACTAGAAATTGTAAGTAACTTGAAGAAGCTTACGGGAAAATCGTCAACACGCTCGTCGCAACAAGCCGTTGCAAAATTCACGACGAAGTAAACGCCGAGAAGATATTTGACCAAATCCTGCAGCTTCATGACTTTTCTGTCGGTAGTCGAAGCGATACTGGTTCCGCTTCGGACAACTGGTTTGCGTCGTATAGCGGGACTATCGTCACCCGCATCTCCGGAATCGAAACTGCTTACGAAGAGTAACAAACATCCCGCATACTTCGCGTTTGCAGGTAAGTTTGTGCCGTTCATGAGTCCTGGTTGTGTTCATTTTGCTTTTTATATTTCATTTTATATTCAATTTGGCGTAAAGCAGGTCAGTAACAGCCCGGCCAATCCCGTTACATTCACTTAAGGCGTATCAATATGCCACATCGACGAAATTTTCTTGATATTTTCGACATGTTAAAAGATGTAGAAATATCTATTTATTATTTACTTTTTGTATGATTTTTAAATATTTTTTTTATAAAATCAATAAGTCGGCCTATAACAATTAAAGTTTTTGATGCTGCAATATGATTAAAGCAGAGCAAATAGGTAAATGAGAAACAAATTGAAGATATAATTTGAAAAAATTTTTATTACACACTTTCGTACAAAACATTGTACATGTAAGAATAAAAAGTTTCCATAAAAAGATACGAGATACTAGTAGCTTAAATCTATTTCAAAATCTCACTACAAGTAATCTTCTTGGCAATAATTGAGTATTTTTGTATCCTGAGAATACAACGCAAAGTCAGAGAAAAAACGTATTTACAGTAGCGTATCAAAATTCTATCATGCCCTTTGTCGTATAAATGTCTAATAAACGCGACACGAGCAGTTAGGTAGGTCAGTTCTCACAAAAGCAGCCGTCCTTTGAATTTTTCAAGATCCAATCCATATACCGAGTGACCCTAGTGTATACGCCCGGATATCCAGGCCGTGCACACCCATTACCCCAGGAAACTATCGCGATAAGCTCGTATTTTTTATCCTCGCGCTCAGCTATCAATGGCCCGCCGCTGTCACCCTGTGAACAATTCTTATTACTTATTTGCACGCCGTATCCACATCACACGTTACATACGCATTGTAAAAAGTAAAATAAAAACATCAACCCTTGTACAGAAAATTAATTGAGCAATTTTACGCGTTAGAGAATATAAGAATCACCTGACACGAATCTTTCTGGCCCTCTAGATATCCCGCGCAGAGCATATTGTCCGAGATCATTCGGGGACTGTAACTGGTATTGCGGCAAGCCTGAAGACTCATGACTGGAACCTCGACTTCCTGAAGAATGCAGGACGGTTTGCCGTTCTCTTGCAACGTACCCCAACCTACCGCGATCGCTTGCACTCCTACGTACTCGTTGTCTGAAAAAGAATTTTAATTAATAAAAAGAATTTTGTCGTTCGCAAAAATGTTTTTCAATTAAAAAATCGCACTTTTGAAACATGTCATTATCAGTGCGAATAATATACTATATACGTTATTATCAACAACAAACAATACTTGCAAGCATGTCACGCCGTGTTAATACACACAAAGAAGATTATCGGTGTGCATTCGACATGCAAATTCAAGTCCTCGATTCCGGAGAAATCTTGCATTTTACGCAGTTATGCGCCGTGATAGTGCGTTACACTCGGCTTAGTACCCGTATACTAACAATTTATGGCTTAACTATCGCGTAATCGTCACATAATAAACAACACGACTGCGACTTATTTAGTTGCGCGTATCGCGCAACAATATTGTGTGATATTACACGCCGCACTACGCGATACCATTTGTACCTCGAAATTAACAATCGCGGCCACGCTAATTTAAACGCGCACCGATCGGACAGAAAATCACGCGTGACGTATGTCGAAGGCGGAATATTGAATTCGACACACGGAGATTGCGAGATACGAGAGCGTTTCGCGGAACGGCAGTGAAAACTTTATTTCGCATTTTATGATTCAGAATATTTATGAAACTATTAAAACTTCGAAGATATTTTACCCAATTTAGTCGGCAGACAAATCGGCCGTATCGTGTCGCTCAGTGGCACTCTCTCGTTGAGGCGAAGTAGCGCGATGTCATTCTCGAAATTCAGGAAACTGAAGTCGCCAGTCATGACGCGCACGACGTATCGGGTTTCCGGGTTTTTCTCGACGCATCTGTCGTGCTCCCCGAAAGTAACCTTGATCATGAACCACATAAATCTGAAAATAAGACTAGAAGAACTGATCACATTCGTCTGGCAGATGAACAAACGAGCAAGCAAAGCAAATACGTTTAAATTTGTGTTAAATTTTGTTTAGAATTAAATTACACAAGATATTAACATAAAATTATTAACATTATTAACATAAAAAAGATCATAAAGAGAAGTCATTTAATTCTCTGCAATCTATATAAATAAACAATGAGAGAAATAAAGCGTAATTTTAAAGCGACACAGTTTTTGTTGTGAATACATTTAAATAATTTGAAGTTTGTTTGCAAACAATATGTTGTATGTTAATTTTTTATTTAATATTATTATAATTGTCAACAATGTGTATGTATGTGTGTATATATATGTGGAACTACTTAGTATTCGACTTCAGGATTAACGGCACGAAATGCTTTCCTCGTAGCGTGAGAATGCAAATGTGAAGCTCGACCTGTTTGCGCATCCAGGAGATGATTAGCACGATTAGAAATGATTTTGTGCTCTCTCTTATACAGTTACGCTAATTCACAAAAATAGTTTCGTGGCTTTAACAATTGTTTATTCATACAGAAATACAAACTTCGAAAAAAGGCTCTGGAGAGAAACTATATAAAATATTTACCAACCGTACCTACCCCTTCACACAATGCGCGGCTGTAATCACGTAGCGATCGTTAATGAGCGCGCCTCCGCAATAAAATTTGTTCAAGTAAGATAGTCTCGCCATCCATGGATATTCATTCATACTAGTCGGCTGCCCTCCGACTATGCGACTTTCCTCATTTCGCAATCCGCAACCTAGATTGCATCGGTAATTGCGTTGTGACATTATTTTTCTGCAGTATAGTTTTTATCGCGCGCGCGCGCTGTATTATTCTAAGAAAGATTAATGTAAGCACGGACGACTGCGTTTTATTTACTCACTGCAGTAGCAAGGTGCGGGTGAGTCATTGGAGTAAGGTGGCTTATTGCCGAAAAGCCCGAAGAAGTTTTTCATTTTGTCGCCTAATTTTCCGCCCTGAAAATTAAAACAAAAATACTTACACACTGTTATTTATTCATTTAAACTTCACTTCAATTGTTTCACACTGACTCCAGGCAAAAAGATAAAGTGCAAGTTCTTTAAACGTTGCGACATAATATAATAGAAAACTACGGCTCGTATCGGTATTTTTTTCATTTATTGTATTTCACAAACGGAAAAATTATATAATAATAGAAAACTTGTTCTACAATATATTACACAAAGGAAAGTAATAAAAAACAATAAAAAAACAAACATGTCAACACAATGATCACGTCGTACCTGACATTTTTCCGTTACGGAGAACAGAATGCACAGCAAACTCAAATAGCCCAGGAGCTTCATATTCCGCAAACTCTGATCGAACTTGCCGCACCCACAACAGTATAACGCACTTTCAAACCGAAAATATTCGCGGGGTCTTTGACAGCTGAATGAAGAAGTCGCCGCACCGTCAGGAACGAGTCATGGACATGTCCCTGACTGAGAGCGACTATCGCTGGCGTCCTACGCCGACTGTGGAAGACTGAGGTCGAAGAGGTAATTGCTATTCCGGAAGGGAAGGCGGGTACAGCCAAGACCGGCCGGTATCTGACCAGTTCACGTTCAGGGTCGAATCACAGATGTCTGTTATTGACTCTCATCACGGCCACGGCCGCTGCGATATTAGAAAAATCATCGCCAGCGATAACTTGTGGAACATATGTCTCGACGAATTTCGATATAAAGGAACAAAACTCATATTTCAGCACATTTCTCTTATTAAGTAATACGATGCAAATTAGAAACAAATTAATTATTTTAGAATAAAATTCTAGGTGATAAGTTACATATTAAAAAGAGATTTACGATATATGTAGTGTAGGATATAAGTATGTGAGACGCGTACTTTCTTTCTCTCTTACGAAAAGTAATGTTTAAATAATGTTTTAATAAATGTTCCAAAATGAACGCGTGTTTGCGTAGTAGTATCGCGGCGTGTCAGTGAAACGCAACGAAACACAAGCAAAAGTAAAGATGATACGCAGCGAGAAAAGGTTGCACGCGAGAACACTCGCATGTGTGTAGTTTATTATATGCACATACGCATTTGGTGCGTCATTCGGTCCCGTTCGACAAGGTACTTCAATCGCCAGCGATTCGTATCAACAATTTCTCGCCAACCGGTTCGGAGAACGAAAAGCGGTCCTATTAAAGCAACGATCCTATTAAAGTCTCGATATTTCCACTTTCGACCAAAATTTCCAACCAACATTCTATGTCAGTCAATTGTTTGTGCCTACATATTATTTTTAGAAGTAATATCGAGAAAACAATTGAACGACAAATAGTTTGCAAAATAACTTATATTATTATTATTGATATTAATCATTTACAAAAACTGAAACGTAAATTTTCGGATCTTGTCAATTGTTATCGTCAGTGTAAAAACTGTTTACACTTGAATATATTGCACTATTTGGACGTAAATTACACTACACATTTGCTATTACGTACAAATTATTGATTACGCTTACAGAGACACTTCTACACGGAACGTATTTTTGTGTGCGTCAACTTTAGCCCGGTTCTCTGTGCGACGATAAACCGTTACCAGTTGCTGATTATTCCGGAAACGTTCGACCGCTATTCGTGCAATAGAAACGTGTGGCGCAAGCTAATCGCGGATAAGCTCCACATTGTACTGTAGATTACAGAAAGAGATGCACAATAAATAAATAAAGTTAATTGACAATATATATTAAAAAATTATGGCCTCCAAATAAGGAACTATAATATTTATAATAATTCTATTATGAGCAAATTGAGCTACATATCTGTCTAAAGTATCGCTCACGTGTGCGATCGCGCCAACACGATGATCACGTATGTGATCGCATGTGATAACGATTATTATATCATCTGTACTCTTCGAATCTTTATGTAAAACAGAGATTTTAAGACTTAAATCCAGTCAAGTGCAGAAACAGCCTTCCTTCATATTCAATTTGATCCAGTTCAGATATCTGGCAACTCGTGTGTAAACTCCGGGATAGCCAGGTCTACCGCAACCAACTCCCCACGAAACTATTCCTAAATATAAATTATATATTACTTACTATTTATTATGTATATAATAAATATATACGTACATATCACACAGTATAAAAGTAAAACTAATTAAAAAGCGAATGACCAAAAATATGTTACCAGCTATTTCATATCTGTCGCTTTCTTCCACGAGAAGAGGCCCGCCACTGTCGCCCTGACAGGAATCGTGACTACCTTGACCGGCGCAGATCATATTCTCGGTAATTCGATTCGCTCGGTACTTCATCTTTCGACACTGCGTCAAACTGTATATCGGCACTTGCACTTCGCGCGCTTCTCCAGCCAGCGTACTTCCCTCTCCCGTTCGACCCCATCCCACAACCGTTCCCTCTTTTCCGGCTGGATCGGTTCCTGCAACAGCGAATTGAGAATGCGATACATATTTATAGTTCGATGATATTATTATATTAAGATAGTTCACGTTACATATTAATCGATTGTCTTGTAATACCTGGTTGAGGCAGACAAACCGGACGAACTTTCTTGGAGAATTTCACGGACTTGCGTAGCTTCAGAAGAGCCACGTCGTGATTGAAGGAGTTCATATCGAAATTCCTATGACGTATCACAACACTCACCGCTCTCATGATAGCAACTCCATCGGTATTCACGTATTGATCGTGATCGCCGAGAATTATGCGCATCTTGGATCGCTTCAGTCTGCAAACGTTACGCTCTCATTTTATGAATGCCCGTATCACACTACGTATTAAAATTGAAATTGAATTGAAAGTTAATCGATCAGAAGAAAGAAAATCAATTTTAAGCTTAGTGAATTTTCTGCTTAGTCAACTGTTTTGATTTGATTACAATCCAATCTCAGTTCCAATCCGAAGTGTGATACGAATCTAATGCAATTTGTAGGTTTGTATTTTATTTTGTTGTTTTGTTATAAATAATGTACATACTTTCGCACACAATGAGCCGCGGTAATTACGTAATCATTGCTGAGTAGACTAGCACCGCAGTGAAATTGACCGTTGTACACGAGTCTCGCGACCCAAGGATATCTATGCGGTGTCGTCGGTCGTCCTCCAACGATTCGGTTCTTCGGTTGATTGGACAAACCGCACTCTGAAAAGAATTACTTCAAGATGAAAAAACGAGATTGTGATGTAAGTTTGCACACAAGTACTTAATTTGTGTCTCATGCAATTTATTTTGTGTTACATACTAATGATCAACTTGACAAGATAATTTGCGAGTATATGCAAATGAAGTGACACGCAATTCAATAAATAATTATCTTACCGCACGTGCAGTTTTTCAACGTCTCCTCGTCACTTTCGATATCGCTGATATCGAAACCGAACAGTTCGTCGAATAAAAATTTGCCGTCGCGAGTTCGACTCGAAGCGATCGACGAATTGTTCTGAAAGAAAAGCGCAACGCTTGTTAGCGTTGTCCGCATGCGTTCATTTTTCCCCGCACAGCGCAACATAAACAATGAGAGAAAGTAACCATGATCTGAATAATGAGTCAAGGTCCGAATCGTTAAATTATCGTGTCTACGGCGTGAACTAGATATCCTGTGTGCAAGCGCATGTGTCGCGTGCACTTTTTATTTACACCTTTTTTTTATGCACCAGTGATTACGACCCCGTCCAGCATTTGAAACAAAATACATATCTCCGCTTATTGGGAGAAATCATTAATCACTAGTCGTCAACTGTATTTATGAATTAGTGATTAATTGCTAATTAATATGTGACTGATCAATTTGTTTATGAATTGAAGATACGTACACAAATGATACATACTGATGAATATTCACTGAGCACAGAAGAAAAAATATGTATAAAATGCTCTGTAATTCTTATACGTATTGTTGTCTGTGCGAAAAGTATTTTGCTAAAAATTTCTCTCTTCACGATGCATATTTGTTATACAAAACGCACATGAACATCTCTCAATTGAATCAGCTTGACTTAGAATAGAACTTACAGAAGGCGCTGTTACAACTTCCTGACGAAACCCACGAGTATCAGCTGACGTTGAAACGTAAAGAATCAGAATTAAGATAAGAAGTGTAGACTGCCGGTGAAACTGCGCAGGCAAATGCATATTTTCACTCGCCATTCACGCTGCACTAAAATTAATAATAATAATTATCACGAACGTGTTGTTTCTCTTTCACACCAATGGGACACCGCACACCACGTGTTTCGTCGGATCCCGCCGCAAACGTGCATTATATCGCGCTTCCACGAACATTTGACGAAAACGTTTTTGTTCTCTTCGGTGGTATTTTCCTTTTCGGTGTTCTGCGCCGATTTGACGGAGATGCTACAGAGAACTATTCGCCAAAGATCACCGTCACGCTCGCGCACGCTTTCACTTCGGTTCCACAAAGAAACCCGTGCCGATCGACCGGCGCAGCTAGCCGGTCTTCGTAATTGTGAAGAAAGTTCTTTCACTGTCGAGTTGCCTGTCGCGTCGGCTTCGGTATCATTCAGAATACGCGTGTCACAAGAATGCGACAAATTCCGTCAGTTTGAAATCGCGAAGATGTGGCTTCTCGTGCGATGGAATGCAAAGCACGCGTGTCAAGTGAAAAAAACTTTCACCAACTTCACGTTTTTCTCTCTCTCTTTCTCTCTTCCGTATGATTTTTTGTTTACAAAGAAATTTGATCTTAATAAACGTATATTATTATAAATTAAAGCAAAAAGAACTTTGTGATATATTATGAGCATCTAAATGTAAAATAACCTCACAATAATTGTTCTCAAAATGTTTCGGTCATCTATTTGTGATCACTTTTTGAAACTTTGTACAACGTTGAAAATTTCTGTGGAAATATAGTGATTATATAATAGATGTAGATATACACGTTTTAAGATAAAATATTTGAAATTATAATATGTGTGTGTACATGTGATATAAGAATAAAGTGGAAAGGAAAAAAAAGAGTTAATCTTCATCGAGAATGATCTACTCATAATAAATATTATCCATGTTCACTGGTGGCCTTTGATTTACAATTAAGAACGTCGAAAACACGTGTTATGTGTGTGAAATCCTATGTGAAACCTGACCAGTTGATTTAACGTACAATCCATTTAGAGGAACAAATTAGTATTCTGTACATTATGCGTGTAAGAGTACACACTTCGTTTTTTTGTTAAGAATCTCCAGTAGAAACAAGCGTGGTCACAGTCGAAATATGTGAATTAAATGTGCTAAATCACTTTACGGAAACAGAAAAATTCATCACCGTTGTTTTTCGTAAATCAGAGGGCACTTATCGTACTATCAACATTTCAGAAAAAACTACCAGTTGAATTATCGGCAACCTTCCTTTAGAACACCGAGTGTGGAACTGGTAAAAACCTCGTTTTGTTACAATGTGCACATTGTGCTACTTTTACTCTTGCAATTTGTCTGCTTCTCATTCGCAAAATTTAAGACACGCTTTCCTAACGTGCGTTTATAATATTAATTTTCTTTTGACAGCACCCACACACACACAATATTATGACTAAGAAAAGAGAGAGAGAGAAGAAAGATATATTTTCTATTAAAAGAAAAGATAATGCGTGCTATTTGTTACATGTGAAGTAACTCGAAAAAGTATGAAAAGTTTAGATAATAGAAAATTCTTATTTTTTCTATTAAAAATATTATTTAATGTATCTTTTAATTTAGAAAAAATATCATGAAACCGGTAACGATTCGAGAATTTTCACTAACCCACATTTCTCCGTTGAAAGCAAAACGTCTTCGAAACTGCTCTGACCCAATTTTACACGTGAACGTAAATATTACATATATTTCTATCTTACTCATTTGACAAATCGAACAACTTAATGCACGTAAAATATATTAAAGACACATTTTAGATTTCTTAAAACATCATTGATGATTTATCTTTGGTGTTTATTATAGAGATATTATCGTCATTTCTTTTTGTTGTTTATGTAGTCATACAATAAAACATTTGTACGAATAAATTTAACGCGCTAATATAGAAAAGACAATTTTCTATATTATAGTACTAATTACTATGTTACTAATATTGCTAAATATCTGCACGTCGCGTGTGCGTAGTTTGTTATAGTATTAAAACAATCGTATATATTTTTTGTCACATTACGCGAAAATGGCCATTCTAATGTATTGTATACGTTATTCTATTATACTTTCACCACATTTTTCCACAAACAGTAGTGCTGAGTCTCCCACGATCACATTCTTTCGATACGAATCTGATACGGTAGGGTCAATACTATTTTTCATAACTTCCTCTGTAAGTTTTTCCTTAAATTCCATTTGTAGGTGATGCGGCAAGTTTTTTATCAATGGTTTTATGTTACAGTCGATCAAATCAGCTGCCAGAAAATAATAAATTATAAATAGATGCGTGTGCAAAGAAATTAATGTACTTATAGGTATATAATTCCTAACATGATCACAATGCGTAGAATTCAAACAGTTTATATACATATGTATATATTTTCGAAGATTATGTATACATACATAAACGGTTTTCCCACCATTTGGTTGTGCAATATTCTGTCTGGTGACGATATATATTAATACGAAATCCGATACTCTCAAGGAAATCTTTTGTTTCTGTTCTTAATACAAATGTTGTGTCAAATCGAAAAAGGTTTTCGATTTTCTGCATAAAAATAAAACAATAATTAATTATTTCTCCAACATAGCAATTTTCGGTCGATTGCAAGATAAGCATCAAATTACTGATATTTACCAGTTCATATGGTGCCCAGAACTGATTATTCGTCAAAGTTTCGACAATTTCAGCGAGATCACTCTCTATTTTAAACCACAAAAGTGCAGTTCCACCAAGTCGGAGCATGTGATAGATATTTCTTAACGCTTGTCTGTTTTAAATAAAGAGTGTAATAATAATATGTGTATGCGTATAAATAAATAACTACAATTACAAATAAATACATATTATGTACATATGAAAAATATTCTTCTAATAAAACATAAAAATTTTTGAAAATATCGAGTATTTATCTACAATAGAGTCTCTTTCGACTCAGCTACTTTCGATTTTAATTAAGAGTTAAGAAAACAGATTTACTAGAATTGCTCAAACTCGAGAAGTTAAATCAAGAACGACTTTTTATAAATATACACTTTTTATATTCATAATTAAAAAGCTCCCTTACCTAAAATCCGAGCACCAGTGTAAAGCGTGAAATGAAAAAATGTGATCAAACGCATTAATATATTTTTCATCTAAATCTCTTGTTTGTATGTTCATCACTTCAAATGACAATCTTTCACTTTTACGGTAGTTTTTGTTTGCAAATTCGATCATGGCCTCGCTAATATCTATACCTGCATGATATACAATCACAATGATGTTTGATCATTGAACAGTACTTAACAATTTCGTAGTATGTAAATGCTTGTTGAGATGCTTACCTATCAGTGTCGCATTCGGATGTAAAGCTGGTAAGAGTAATTCGAATGTTGAGTTACCAGGACCACAACCAACGTCCATACATTTTCCAGACTTAACTTTTAACTCGTTCTTAAACTCACTTATTAAATTTTTTATATTGTTTCTTTGTGTAATGCTTCGGTTAAGATATTCTTGCGGATCCATTTTAATATAATTGTTTATTTTAATATAATTGTTGTAGGAAATAAATAGTTTTTATCTTTAACTTCCTCGTGAAACTTGCGGTTTCAGCGTTTTACACTGAAAGATATAAAGCTGTATATACATATATTTAGAATTTTATTGCGGGAAACAGTGGTTTGTTACAAGACATGATGAATATGAATCATACTAAAAACCTTGTATACTCTATAATAAATAATACAGTATATAATGAATACTGTATTCTATGAGATATAGTGGATTATTTGCCGATCGAATAAATTTTGATTAGTAATTTTAACATTAGAGAAGATTTCATAATATAAAAATGTATGTAAATTAAGAGGAGTATCTCCTTTTTCGAGGCAAAATAAAACAAAACTTATTTTTTTACATTTTTCTGTATCTGTAAAATATCTAGAAAATGTTTTTGAAGCGAATTTTCAAAAATAAAAAAAAAGTACGATAGTTACAACCTCTTATGTGTAGCCGGGTTTGGAGCGAAAACGGACTATGCCGGACGCACAGGTATGCGAACTGTCGACGTTATTTTACTTTTGAATACCGACCCTACACAAACAAACTACCCTATTCAAACAGAATTCTTATATATATCTATATATACATATGTACATAACCGGAATACGTTATATGTATTTGTAAAAAAAAACATCTATTTTCACGTTAAAACATCTATTTTTTGGTCGAAAAATGATCAAAATGACGGCGATATACTTACTTGTGTATGTTAAATGAAGTATATAGTATGTCTCTGTTATATAAAATTCTCAAAAATCATCTTGATTTTATCCGAAAAAAAGACTTTCCATTAAAAAAATATCAATTGTAGAGAGAGAAGTATAAAATGTATGGAATTTTAAACTGGAATTCACAAATAATAATATATGTTAACATAAGAGACATAAAAAGAGATGAATATATGTAAAAAAATACTTTTTCAAAATATTTTTGACATATATCTTATTATTATAAATATATTTTATTATTATAGATAGAATTGTATATAATAATATATACATCTAATCATCACATTATCTAATAATCACAGTCGTTTGCAACTTTAACGATTTGGTTACATTGTACACTTAAAGTAATATGAAGTATAGTTTCGATTTCTCTTATACATCTAATTGTGATGTCTAGCAAAGTAAATATGCCAAAAAAAAACGAAAAAATATGTATTACCGAACGAATATGAACTTTGCCTGAAGTAGGATCGCGACAATAAAAGTATAAGATTTGTGGTTTGAAAACGTTTCGGCTGTTGGTTGTAAAGCTGTCGTAAGAGAACTATCTTCTTCTATTTTATCATTTACTCAAATAAGATAATTTTTTATCTATTTAAAATAATGTCACTGATAGTTATCACATATGTATATATAAATACATATTACAGACTTACGACATGTCATATGTATGTTTCTTCACATGCTTGTTACAAACTGACGATACTATCACAAAATCGAACGTTATACTTCCTAGTTTTTATGCGCACATCAAACACTCATTGTACTCTGTAATTAGGCGGGACTTTTTGATTTCTTGTTTTAGAAATGTATTTATGATGTATTAATAGAAATTATTATACAAGTGTCTTGTATGATATATTTATGATTTATTGATGCACAAATTTTACCATATAATAATTTCGAAATTATCTTGTAGTAAAAGTAAAATGTAAAGTTACATTAAAAGCAAGAGAATTACAGGTAACTCTCACAGAAATGCCGCGTTATACAAATCGCCTTATTCGACGCATAAACGCGCATTTTGAAAAAACGAAATTGGACTCTATTTTATTACAATTTATAAGCCGCGTTGTTCAAGTATCACTTATACGAGGGTTATCTGTATATGTATACATGCTTCTGAAGTAATTGTGTGGATAAAACGTTGAGTGTACATATTTGTCATTGTTGCTTATTATCAAATATTTCTATTATTTACGTTTCTTTGTTTCACATATGGTTATATAATAAAACATTTGTACACACGCAAATAAAACGTTTTGTCATTTTATACATTATAATAATAAATACTAAGTAGTAGTAATATACTGCTCGTATATTTGTACATTGTGTCTTATGCTATATTTTACTATAGTATTAAAAAATTATACATATATATTTTGTATCATTACTCAAGAATGCTCGATCTCATATAATGTGTATGTGTACTTTTACACTTTCATCATATTGTTCTTTTGTCTGCAAATATCATTGTTGATGTGTCTCCTTTGCACACATTCTTTAGAAGTAACTTATTTATACCTATTTTTAAATTGGGATCCACACTTCTCTTTATAATTTCATTTCTAAAGGCTTCTTTGAATTCTTCTTTTTTTTCAGGCGGCATATTACTTATCATTGGTGTTAAGATGTTATTGATAAAGAAATCTATTGAAAATTAATAATTTATATTTTACTAATAGCTGCATGTGAAGAAATTAGAAAAATGATAATCATATTTTACAGAAGTTAATATGTCGTGTAATATACATATATAATAGCATATATTTACGTACCTAAATATTCATAAAAATATTTAGATCTGCAATATTCTACTTTGAAAGAGCTGTGACGAATAAGAAAACCGATATCTTTAAGTATGTTTATTGTATCTCTCTTAAGTGAAAAGTTGATGTCGTACATACGTAAAAGTTTTGTCTTGTCCTATATTAAAATAAAATAATACTGAACAATTTTTTTCAGACGATTGGGGCATAGCATTACAATAATAATGTTTACCATTGTAATGTGGTTTTCAAAGCGTTCATCATTTACTAAAGTTTGAAGAATTTCAGAAATATCACTCTCTGTTTTAATCCACAAAACTGCAAATCCACCCGGTCGGAGCATGCGATGAATATTCACAAATGCTTGTCTTAAATAAAGATAATTGTTTCAAATAAAAATAATATATATAATATGAGAGTATGAGCAAATAAAAAAATAGTTAAATATAATATACATTTAGTATGCGTATAAATAAATAAATAAAATATATGTTAATACTATATGTACATATACATACATATATACATATGTGTATAAAATGTGTTTTTCTAACAAAACATGAGAATTTTTAATTTTTAAAATAGTAAATTAGACTATTATATTTTCTAATAATCAAGAAGAAAAAAAGAAAAAAGATGGAGAAATAAGAACATTTTATCAAAACAAAACAGTGTGTGTAATCTATAATTGTATATATCTATATTGTATATACTATACTATATATTCTATATAATAATACGTATATATAGTATATTCTATATATATATAATAGTACTCTACACATATATTGTAATATATCTTTCTTTTTAAGACTTTTTCTTACCGAATATCTTTGCACTGTTGTAAAGCACAAAATGAAAAAATGTGCTCAAATTGAGAAACATATTTTTCAGGTAAAACTTTGGTTTCTATGTTTAACACTTCGAATGTTAATCTTTCATTTTTATTAAGTTGTCTCGCACATTCGATTACGGACTTGCTAGTATCTATACCTGAACATTAACATATAATATTAAACAATCAATAATGTTTAATATTAAATAATACTTAGCAACTTATTAGTGTGTATTATACAAATTGTTTGGTTACTTGCTTACCTATCAGTGTCGCATTTGGATCAAGAGCTGATACAAGTAAATTTGTTACGTCACCGAGACCACAACTAATGTTCATACATTTTCCAGTCATATATCGCAACACCTTTGCATACATTTCTATTACACTATGTACGTTCTCTTGGTGTGCTTCGTTCAATGAAATATTGGAAACCAATGCATTCGGTGGAATTTCATTGGAAGTCAGTAGAAATTTGTAACGTAATTGTGGCAATTTAAATACATGCACTATTAGTATTGTGGTATTTATATTGTTTTTCAACGAGTTTTTTTTACTGGAATGTACATACTTTTTTTTAAAGTTGGAAGCAAACTGATTTCTGAATTTTTCCCTTAAATGAATCGGTAGTTTATGTATTAGCGGACTCATGGACGAAAGAGTAGTAGCTATAAAAAAGAAATAAATTTTAATTTAGAAATAGCGTGTGTGAAGAAAATTTACATTATGAAAATACTAATCATATAGCATAAAATTTAAAATATTTATTTGCATATAAATATATACCAAGAACTGATTCAAAATGCTCATAACCGTAAATTGTAAAACCTTCTACATTGTAAGTATCAATCGAAAATCCTATACTTGCAAGGAATTTTGTTATTCCTAATGCAAAAAAACTCACAGGTTTGCTGTATAGATAAACATCGCTCAGTTCCTGCATAAAAATAAAATATTCTTAATCATTTCTAGACGACACTTTTTGCAAGATAAATATCATAATAAGAATGCTTATGATGACCTGACTATATGGTGCAAAGCGGTTATCAGTCGCCAAAGTTTCGAGAATTGAAGGAACATCACTCTTTATTTCAAAATAAAACAATGCACTCCCATTGCTTCGAAGCATGTGATAAATATTCACAAACGCTTGTCTGTATTAATGATATATCATATAATTATTAATATATTGTATAGTCAACTAGTATGAATTTCTCATACTATGTAATTGCAGTCCATATTTTGTTTTAAAAATTTTTCTTACTGAATGTCAGTGCACCATTGTAAAGTGTTAAATGAAAAGATGTGATTAAATTCACAAACATATTTGTCAGGTAATCGTTTTGTTTGTATGTCCATCACTTCGAATGTCAAATGTCTTTCAACGCGGTAGTTTTTGTTCGCAAATTCGATCATGTCCTCGTCAATATCTGTACCTGAATAGTACAATCACAACGATGATTATTAAACAATGAATATTAAACATGATTAGCGATTACATCAGTATTTAGCTGATCAGATTTAATAATATGTCGAGTTTGTTTTAATTACCTATCAATGTCGCATGTGGATGAAGATTTGGCAAGAGCAACGACATTGTTGTGTTACCCGGACCGCAACCAACATGCATACATTTTCCAGAAAAAATGTTATTGGGCATTTCTTGTTCACATATTTTTATAATGGATTGTGTTATAGTGGATTGTACTACGTTATGTACAACGTACTTTTCCGGATCCATTGTAATTTTGATAAAACTGATGTGTGTCTGTTTTATATATTTGTCTTAATCGTGAAATTTGCTGTGCTTGTGCATTCTATATAATAGAAGTTATAAAATTCTAAAATTTTGTAGAGTTGTTGTGAGAAAAAGTGAATTCTTACGGTTTGTAACATAAATTATGCTGAAGAACCTGTTGATAATAAATATGATGCAATATAAATTATTTGTCGACCAAATACTTTCTGATTAGTAACTTCAGTAAAAAACTTTCAACAAAGAAGACATACTACTTTTATACTGTTGTGCAAAAAAGTACGCAGATTAGAGAGTTTACTTTTTCGGGTTAAACGTTCAATTTTGTGTTCTTTTTACACTTCGTGTGTGTAAGTCTAAAATAGGTCGTTAAAACGAGTTTTCAAAATTCGAAAACATGGAACACACAGGTACATAAATCGCCGAGCCGTTATTTCGCTTTTGTATACCCTACACAGGCAAAACTACCTTACTCAAGGTAGTTAGGTAAACTCTTATATATGTGTATATGAACACAAGCTAGTAGGTCATATATGTTTGTGAAAGAAACATCTTGCGAAAATATCTATTTTCTATACAAAATCGAAGTGACTGCTCGGAATTCAATATGGAACATATTCCTTTGTTAGAATAAATTTCCAAAGATCGCTTTTTTCAATTCGAAAAAAATTTTTACTTTAAAAAGTATTTATTGTAAGGAAAGTATCATATGTGTGTATTAAACTAATATTTATTAACATAAGAAACATAAAGAGATAAGTGTGTATAAAAAAGCATTTTTAAAAACTATTTTTAACATATTAAAATTATAATAACATATCTGATTATCACATTTGCAATAATCAAATTTATTTGCAACTTCAAAGCTTTAATTACTTGTACTTACAGAAATAATTAATATAATTTTGAATATTACATATATGTAATTATAACGTCTAATTAAATGTATATACTAGAAAACATAAAAGATAACAGACAAATATACGAACTTCGGACGAGGTGGCAAAATAAACAAAAATCAATTTGGACTTAGAACGTTTCGGCTGTTGTTTTAAAACTGTCGTCAGAAAGAACTGTTTTTTTTTTTTTTGACTTATCATCTGCGCAAAACAAGATAATTTGTTATCCAATTAGAAATATCACTAATATTCACAAATATAAGTACACAGACTTGCGACATGCCACAAAATATATTTCTTCACGTGCTGCTTGTTACGAACTGACAGGAATATCATAAAAGGTACGGTAAAAGTCTCCTACAAATGTTTCGAAACAGTATCTATCTTTATTCCTTGTTACATATAGAATAAAGATGGAGCGATGCTTCAAAACATTTGTAGTGAGACTTTGATCGCATCCGAAGTCGACCAATATACTTTGTAGTTTTGATGCGCACATCAAGCACTCGTGGTACTTCGTAGGAGTGGGGAAACTATTTAAATAAAAATGTCTAGTGCATTTCGACTTTATTTTTCAAAATCATATCATTTTCAGCGGACATGGTATTTAATTACATGGTATTAAATTAGAATAATAAATATAAATAAATATATAAATATAAATATATAAATAT